GAAGGATCTTCCAAGACCAAATAATAAGAAGAGAAAGTTTTTTTGGGTAGTCCAAGTCAGCCACACAACAAATGCATGAAGTTCAATGACAATTGTTATAATTGTGGAAAGTCTGGACATCGATTCAAGGCTTGCCGAAAGCCAAAGTCTTTTGAGAAGAAGAAATCAAATGCTCAAGCACATGTAACAGAAATGGATAATCTTTCTGATGAAGTTGCTCACATTGATTTATCCGTTGAAGTGTCTGAATGTAACTTGGTAGGCAATACCAAATAATGGTGGGTAGACATTGGAGGCACTCGTCATATGTGTGCAAATAAGTGGATTTTCTCTACTCATACATCAACATGAAATGGAGAACAACTTTACATGGGTAATTCTTCAAGTTCCAAAGTTGAGGGACGAGGAAAAGTGGTGCTGAAAATGACTTTTGGTGAAGAACTGACTTTTAATGAAGTGTTTCATGTTCTAGACATTTGCAAGAACCTAGTGTCTGGTTCTCTTCATAGAAAAAATGGGTTCAAACTGGTATTTGTTTCCGATAAATTTGTACTTAGTAAGCATGATGTACGTGGGGAAAGGTTATTTGAGTTATGGTCTGTTCAAGATGAATGTAATGATTGTTGTACCAAAGTCCCCTACTATTAATAATAAGAATGTTTCTTCTGCTTACTTGATTGACTCTTCTGATATTTGGCATGAATGATTGGGCCATGTTAATTACAAAACTTTAAACAAGATGTGTAATATGGATTTAATACCTAATTTCACATTAGATCAAAAAATGTGAAATATGTGTTGAATCAAAGATGACAAAACCTCCATTTCGTTCAGTAGAAAGAGAAACCGAACCTCTTGAATTAATTCACAGGGACATATGTGATTTGAAATTTTTACCTACAAGAGGAGGTAAAATAGATGACAGTACGAGGTACTGTTATATATATTAAAGATGAAGTCATTGAAGTGTTTAAACACTACAAGGCTGAAGTGGAAAATCAACTAGGCAAAAAGATTGAAATGTTTCAAAGTGATCGAAGAGGAGAATATGAATCACTTTTTGAAGGTTTTTCTTCATAAAATGGAATTGTACATCAAACTACTGCTCCTTATTCTTCTCAATCAAATGACATAGCAGAACGGAAAAATCGAACATTGAAAGAAATGTTGAATGCTATGTTGATTAGTTCAGGATTATCACAAAATTTGTGGGGGGAAGCATTGCTTACAGCAAATTACATCCTGAATAAAATTCCATATAAGAAAAACATGAAATTCCATATGAATTATGGAAGGGACGAAAACCGACTTATAAATTTATGAAACTGTAGAGGTGTTTGGCTAAGGTGACGATTTCTAAACCTAAAATGATAAAAATAGGGCCAAAAATGGTTGACTGTGTGTTTATTGGGTATGCAATTAATAGTAGTGCATATCGGTTTCTTGTACATAAGTCAGAAAATCCTGACATACATGCAAATACAATTATTGAGTTGAGGGTTACATCATTCTTTGAAAATATGTTTCCTTATAATATGAAAAATGAGTCAAGGAAAACGACACATGAATCATCATCTAATTAATAAAATTTGGATAAGATTCAAGAGCCGAGAAGTAGTAAGAGACAAGAGTTGAAAAATATTTTGGGCCAGATTTTCTAACATATTTGTTGGAAAATGAACAAGCAATTTCTTCTCCCGAAGCACCATATTGGAAAGAGGCTATACAAAGTGAAATTGATTCCATTATGCAAAGTCATACATGGAAATTGGTTGATCTTCCTCCTGGTTCTAAATCATTGGGTTGTAAATAGATTTTTAAGAGAAAAATGAAAGCAAATAGAACAATTGATAAGTATAAAGCTCGCCTTGTAGTAACAGAATATAAATAAAAAGAAGGGTTGAATTATTTTGATACATATTCACCCGTTACTAGAATTACCTCTATTCACATGTTAATAGCCTTAGCAGCTTTATACAACCTTGAAATACATAAAATAGATGTAAAAACGGCTTTCTTAAATGGTGAATTAGAGGAAGAAATATATATGAAAAACGGCTTTCTTAAATGGTGAATTAGAGGAAGAAATATATATGGAACAACCATATGGTTTTGTTGTTCCTGGACAAGAGAAGAAAGTATGCAAACTAGTCAAATCTCTTTATGGTTTGAAACAGATGCATTAGCAATGGCATGAAAAGTTTGACTATGTTATGATAACAAATGGCTTCACAATCAATGAATGTGACAAATGTGTCTATGTTAAAGGAACTCAAACGGAGTTCGTAACTGTATGTTTATATGTTGATGATATGCTAATAATTGGTAGCAATAAAGAAATTATTTTAGCTACAAAACAAATATTGACTAGAAAGTTTGAAATGAAAGATATGGGTGTCGCAGATGTTATCTTGGGAATCAAGATCCATAGAACATCTGATAGATTAGCACTTTCTTAGTCACATTATATCGAAAAAATTCTTGAAAAATTCAAGAAATATGATATAAAAGTTGTAAAGACACCTTTGGATGCTAGCCATCAATTTTCTTCAAATACGAGTGATAGTATGTCTCAGTTGGAGTACTCTCATATAATAGGAAGTTTAATGTATGGTATGAATTGTACAAGACTGGATATAGCATATGCGGTAAGTATGTTGAGTCGATATACAAATAATCCAAGTCCAGATTACTCGAAAGCTCTTTTAAGAGTTTTGGCATATTTAAAATATACTCAAAATTATGGTTTACATTATACTAGATATGTGGCTGTACTTGAAGGGTACAATGATGCAAGTTGGATAATTAGTATGAAATATTCAAAGTCAACAAGTGGATATATTTTTACACTTGGAAGTGGAGCTATATCCTAGAAATCTTCTAAACAAACTTGTATAGCAAGATCAACTATGGAATTTGAATTCATAGCTTTGAACAAAGTAGGGGAAAAAGCTAAATGGTTATGAAACTTTTTGGAAGATATTTCTAATTGGATGAAGCCTTTACCCCCAATATGTATACATTGTGATAGTCAAGTCGCTATTGGAAGAGCGCAAAACTTAATGTATAATGGTAAGTCTCGACATATACATCGATGACATAATACCATAAGACAATTGCTCTCTAATGGAATTATATCAATTGATTATGTGAAATCAAATGATAATATTGCGGATCCATTTACGAAAGTTTTGGCAAGAGAGCAAGTGAAATTGTCTTCAATAGGAATGAGATTGATGCCTATAATATAAGAGTTGACATAATGGTAACCCAACCTAACTGACTGGAGATCCCAAAATCGAGGTTCAAAAGGGAAAGCAAAATTTGGTATACAACTCAGAGGAGCACTCAGAAGGACTTATAACTTCCCAACTGTTCTTATTATAAAAATTAGTGCTAATTTGGAAATGGTTGAGGTTAAGTTATGCTTTTAATGACTCTTTAGCTCTTTTACAAGAGTAGAGTATTGCCAGGATACTCTTTAAAGAAGTCACCTATGTGGGTGTGAAGGGACCGCTTCTATGAGACTTTTTAAGGTTGAATTCTCTAAAAACACTCATGAAACCAGACAGTATTAAAGGCCAAAATGAATACAAACATGAGAACCATTAATATTTCGAAGAATATCTATGTAATTATTATGGATTTGATTTACTCCTAAAAGGTTGACAATTCAAACTTCTTTAACTACTGATCGGCTATGTAAGCTTCATCGTTTTACTAAGGAAAATTCAAGGTTTTAGACTACTTATCCCGACGTAGTTATTCTTCATGAGTAATCGTACACACTTTAAAATAAATTTTATTCATGTGGGGATTGTTGGAATTTCTTGAATAAAATTAATTTTTAATAAAATAAAACTTTTCGTGATATGGCGTGTCTTTTGTAAATGATATAACCTTATATGAAAGGATATGTCTTTTATCAAAAGACATAATCTTATACAAAAAGATGTGACTATTTGAATGGATACAAATAGTCTATGAATTGTGGTTTCTTTTCCATTTTGCAACACAGAAAAATCATCCCTCAAAATTCTCTTTTTTTCCCTATATACGAGTACTTAAATACTGTGAGTTCGTTGAGTCATGTGCGTGAAGTGCTGCATTCACAGGTTGGTATATGTGTCCTATCCTGGGAAACAATTGTTCATGAAACCTTGAGCACCATAGAGGGAACAAAATTGTCTTAAGGAAACAACGCTACTGTTGGATTCGGATTGATTATTTTTGTGTTTTCTTAATTTCTCTGTAAATTTTCTCTACATCTTTTGCGAAATTATCGTTTCAATTAGAAGGGTTACATAGACGGTTACGTGGGATACCTCGGCTTCAACCTTAAGAGAACTCAAGGTTGTCGGTAACCTAAACGAACTATTTCAATTTCTACGAGCCAATTATAGCTCGACCACTACTTATATCCAAGGTATTGCCTTTTATGTTCACTTAAGATGATCTATTCTTTTTGCCACATATGGTAGGTCCCATGTTTGTCCCTAACGGTCTCTAAAACAATTTATAAGTTGATGAATAGTTTACATTTAATATAATTAATAGCACTTATTAGGAAAATGTGAACCAAAAAAATTTGTTGAATTTAATTGGTGGTTGATTCAATGTCATTTTAATTAGCGTAATCCTATTCGATAACAAAATTATTTTATATATTTCAAAAAATGTGATCGTTTTTTCAAATTTTCAAATATAATAAAAATATTAGAATAATTATTTTCGAATTCTTATTTTAACCTTTTTTCTCTAAATATCTCACAATTTTTTCTTCTTCGTTGAAATTAGTTCAACTAACGATTCAGTCGAACAACTTTCAAAAATAACAATTTAGTCCTAAACTTTCAAATTGGTAATAATTTGATCCGTACAGCTAAATTTTTGTTAGGATTTATCCGACAAAAACAGAACGTAGAATGCCACTGATAATTTATTTGTACACATTGAAATGCCACCTAAGCTTAAAAAAATAAAAGAAAAGAAAAGTAACAGTCCCGCCCCACACGTCTCTCCCCACCCTTCCGACGAGACGTGAGTTTCGGCTAAACCAGTTAGCCGAATTTTGGTGCTCTAACACCAAAATTCCTCCACAGTTTTCTTCTGAGACCTGTGGGTTAGGTTAATTTTCAAGTTCCCTTTCTTCCTTCGCTGCCCCAAAACCATGGGTAGTTTTCTGTCAACCCAATACCACAATCTACTCTCTCTTTCACATTCTCTCTCTACTCCATTCTATTATCCTCTCTTCAAAACTCTGAGATTCTCCTGAGTTTAAGCAATTTTTTCAAGGTTTAATTAGTTTCTATATTTCTGGGTTTGATTCAAATTTTTTAAATTGTAAAAAAATTGGAGGAGGTTCAATTAAAATTTAATGAAACTCAGTATTAGAGTTACTTATGTTCTTTAGGGTTTGTTACTTTGTTAGAGTTTGTTAGTAGATTATTAGAATTTGTTACTCATTGTTAGAGTTTGTTATGTATTTTATAGTCGTACATTGGGTCTATATATACAGACTTTCCTTCAGTGAATTAAACAAGTAAGAATCAATTTGCTCTTAGAGTTCTAATATGGTATCAGTTGAGAAATTTTTTCTTGAGAGTTCCTCGCTGTAGCTGAAGAAATCAAAGGCTGCACTTATGGCACGTTCTTCTGCTTCTCGTTCTTCTTCTTCCAACTCTCAGGGAAAGAAGAAAGAACGTCTTTGCACTCATTGTGGACTTCATGGCCACATAGTGGATCGTTGTTACAAACTTCGTGGATATCCACTTGGCTATCTAACTACCAGCGGTCGCAATTTCTCCTCATCGCCTCTTTCCAAAACGATCAATACTTCTTCGGAGTCTTCGTCTGTTTCTTCACCTGTTCCTGATTCTTTGGCTGGTCTTAATGCTGAACAGTGCCAAGGCCTATTAAGTCTGCTACACGCACCAGTCCAAAGCTAAAGTTGGTCCTGATTTGGACCCTGGCTCTTCACATGTAGCAGGTATCTGCCACTTCCCTCCTTCCCTTCCTGCTGGAACTTGGGTAATTGACTCTGGAGCCTCTGCCCATATTTGTTTTTTTTCCGAGAATGCTTTCTTTTTTTAAGGTTGTTTCTGGATTTTCTGTGACATTGCCAGATCAATGTCTTAAAGTGGAATTTATTGGGGATATTCAATTAACTTCCACCTTGGTTATTCATGATGTATTATTTGTGCCAAGCTTTCGATTCAATTTGTTATCCGTCAGCACTTTAATCAAGGAGTCTTCGCTTATAGTTACCTTTGTTTCTAATTCTTGTCTTATTCAGGACAAGTCCACTTTGAAGAAGATTGGCAAGGGTAATCTCTGGCATGGTCTCTCTGGCATGGTCTCTGCATTCTTGACATGGCTCGTTCATCCCCTATTGCTCCTCGTAATGTTTGAAATGTTGTTTGTTTGTCCTTTGTTACTAATTGGCATGCTAGGCTAGGCCACCCAGCTGAGAGACATTTATCTGTCTTACAGACTGTTTTGCCCTTTTTATCGTAAGGTTGATATGGTTAATAATCCTTGTTTAGTTTGTCCATTGGCTAAACAAAAGAAGTTGTCATTTGTTTCTCATAATTCTGTGGCAAATCATCCTTTTGATCTTGTTCATTGTGATATTTGGAGACCTTATCAATCTCCTACACATGCTAGTTTTCGTTATTTTCTTACGATCATGGATGATTTTTCTAGATACACTTGGGTTTTCTTAATGCGACAGAAGTCTGATGCATTGATGTTAGTTCCACGTTTTTTTGCTCTTGTTAAAACTCAGTTTGCAAAGACCATTAAGCAGTTTCGTTCTGACAATGCTCCTGAATTGGCTTTCACTGATTTTTTCAACACTAAAGGAGTTTTGCATCAATACTCTTGTATTGCTCGCCCTGAACATAATTATGTTGTTGAAAGAAAGCATCAAATTTGTTAAATGTTGCTCGATCCTTGTTTTTCCAATCTCGGGTGCCTATTAAGTTTTGAGGTGAATGTGTTCTCACTGCTTGCTTTTTGATTAATCGTACTTCATCTCCTTTGTTTCATTTGAAGACTCTCTTCGATTACATGGTTGCATTGCTGATTATTCATCATTACGGGTTTTTGGATGTCTCTGTTTTGCTTCTACCTTGACTACTCAACGTTCTAAATTCCATCCCCGTGCTATTGCCTCTATTTTTTTTTTTTTGAGTTATCCTCAAGGCATGAAAGATTATCATTTGTATGATATTGCACGTGGTCGAATTTTTGTTTCTCGGGATGTTGTATTTCATGAGAATATTTTTCTGTTTCATACTATTCCTCATGATGGTATTAATGTAGATCTTTTTCCTGCTGTTGCTCTTCCAAAATCTTTTGATTTTCCAACTAAGCACATGGTGGCAGAAGTTGATTTGAGTAAAGAATCACTACCCGTTGGTCACAACGATTTTTCCCTCCCTGATGTAACTACTTTAACTGAGGAAATTTTGGTCGCGTCCTCCCCTAATGCATCTATTTTGGCCCATGGTGATTCTGTACATATTTCTAATCCACCTACTGATGTTCCTGTGCATATTTATGCTTCTGATGCACCTTCTTCGACTTCTACTGATACATCAATTGGTATTTGGAGATCTTCCAGGGATGTCCGTCGGCCATCATACCTTCGGGACTATCATTGTAGTCTTGCTCACTCTAATGTTTTGGCCTCTTCTCCTTTGAAGTATAAATTACAAGAGTATTTGTCCTATGATAAGCTCTCACCTGGTTATAAACGGTTTATTCTCAATGTATCTACTCATCATGAACCTTCTTTTTATCACCATGCAGTCTCATACTTTCACTGGCGTGATGCCATGAATGCCGAGTTGCTTGCCATGGAATCTAATAATACTTGGTCAGTGGTGCTGCCTCCTGGTCATCATTCTATCGGCTGTAAATGGGTTTACAAAGTCAAGCACAATCCTGATGGATCCATTGAGCGCTACAAAGCAAGGTTAGTAGCTAAGGGTTATACTCAGCAAGAAGGTCTTGACTATATTGAAACTTTTTCCCTAGTGGCCAAGTTAGTCAATGTCAAAATTTTACTCACTCTTGTTGTTTCTCATAACTGACACTTGATCCAACTTGATGTAAATAATGCATTTTTGCATGGTGATCTATTTGAAGAGGTTTATATGGATTTACCATTGGGTTATAAGCAGAGTGTGGCCGCACCTCAGGTGGGCAATTGGTTTGTAAAATACACAAATCAATTTATGGCCTTAAACAAGCATCTAGACAATGGTTTGATAAATTTTCTCATGCTTTGTTGCTTCTTGGTTTTCGCCGGACTAAATCTGATTATTATCTATTTGTACGGGGTTCTGGTGCCACATTTATTGCTCTCCTTGTTTATGTAGACGATATTATCATCACTGATGCTTCTGTTGACTTAATTGATAATCTGAAAAGTCATTTACATGCTGCTTTCAAACTCAAAGATTTAGGTCCTTTGAGATACTTTTTAGGCCTCGAGTTAGCTTGTTTGGCTAGTGGTATCATTCTCTCTCAGCGACATTATACTCTTCAACTTCTTGAGGATACGGAATTTTTGGCATGTAAACCTTGAACTTTGCCTATGGATCTTAATCTCAAGTTACTTGCTTCTGATGGTTCTCTCTTAGATGATCCTACTATGTATCGCCGATTGATTAATCGGCTTTTATATCTTATTGTTTCCCGACCAGATATTACATTTGCTGTTCACAAGCTTAGCTAGTTTGTTGCTCAGCCAAACCAGTCTCACCTTGATGTTGTCCATCACCTTCTTTGTTACTTGAAGGGTTGTCCGGGTCAAAGGATTTTGCTATTCTTGTCCTTCTTCTTTCCAAATACGAGCATTCTCTGATGCAAACTGGACTTTCTGTTTGGATTCTCGTAAGTCAACTACTGGTTTTTGTGTGTTCCTTGGGGATTCTGTTGTTTCTTGGAAGGCTAAGAAACAAAGTACTGTTTCTCGTTCTTCTGCTGAGGCAGAGTATCGTGCTCTGGCTGTCACTACAAATGAGATTATTTGGCTTACTCATCTTTTGAAGGACTTGCAGATTTCGTTTCAACATCCTCTATCATTTTTTGTGATGATCAGGCTGCCATCGATATTGCTTCAAATCCTTCATTTCATAAACGTACGAAGCACATCGAGCTTGATTATCATTTTATCAGAGATAAGATTGTCGATGGGCTCATTAAACTTTTGCCTATTCGGTCTGATTCCCAGCTGGCCGATATCTTCACCAAAGCTTTGCTCATTCTTCCTTTTATCATTTACTTTCCAAGATGGGTGTTTCAAATATTGTTTCCCCATCCTGAGGGGAGGATTAGAGTTTGTTACTTATGTTTGTTAGGGTTGTTACTTTGTTAGAGTTTGTTAGTATATTATTAGAATTTGTGACTTATTGTTAGAGTTTGTTACGCATTTTATAGTTGTACATTTGGGTCTATATATACAGACCTTCCTTTAGTGAATTAAACAAGCAAGAATCAATTTGCTCAAAGAGTTCTAATACTTAGTAGTTAAGGCAGCGGCGGTAATGGAGGGCTATTTTCGGGACGAATTCTGCAATATTAGGATTGGAATTACCTCTTCATAATAACACATTGCTACTTCGTACCAGTCGGCTTTATTTGGCTTGATTACACACTGCCATCAGAGGCCTTAAGGAAGATTAAACAAGCTTTCTTTTTGTCTGCACTCTGGGTGAGCCATTGGCCAAATTTCTCTTCCTCCTCTCCCCTCGAGAATTCTCCCTCACTGTTGCTATCCAAAAGGGGGGAGACTGGGGGCACCTTCTTTCTTTTCTTTTTTACTTTTTTTAAGTTTATGTGGCTTTTAACGTGTATAAATAGTTATTTGCTGGTGTCCAAGTCAGATTTTTTTGTTAAATCATAACCGATGTGTAACGGTAGGGACCAAATTATTACTCATTGAAAGTTCGGGGACTAAATCATTACTTGAATAAAAGTAACCATTTTCGAGAATTAATTTTTTTAAAATGGCCACGTCACCTTAAAAATTATAAAATCATTATTTTTGGTAGAACATTAAAACCAATTCAAAACACCATGTCCTTTTTTTTCTAAGAAAAAAAATTGATGAGACTAAAATAGATTATTTTAAAAATCTTTAAAATGAAATCATAAAATTTTGAAATTTAATTACCAAGCGAAAATGTATCTCATTGTTAAAAGTGTATTTATCCCTATATATGTATGTATGTATCTATATATATATAAAGGAGGATGTAGGAAAAATATTTTTCTACACTTTTGTCTCTTACTAAATTTACTAATTTACAAACTACGCCATTAATACATTATTATAAATATTAAATTAATTATTAATTATCAATTATTAATACTAATAAATTTATAGAATTTAAAATGTTAGAATGCAAAAATTTTCCTGTAACATAAAATTAATTTTGTCTTCAATTGTAATTCATACTAGAATCGGAAGAGTTTAAGAATTTTAAAAGCTTTTGTAATTTTTTATTCTCTACTACTATAAAAATATGTTTCTTCCACCATTTTTTCCACGACACTTTTCACTATTTCTCTATTTTTAGTTTTCTCAAAACATCTCTCAAAGATTATTCAATCTCGAAAATAAATTTTAAAAACATTTTTTAAATAAAGAAAATTCTTTTAAGCTAATTATCTCGGGAAATTTTTTTTTTTTACCATTATGTCCCTTTATCAATTTTCAAATTTACTAAACATGTCATTTTTTTGTTTTTAATAACTTTTATTAATAATAATGTGGAAGTTATGAATACGAAGAGCTTAAATATGAAAAGTTTTACTTATTTATATATAATAATTTATGATTTGAATTGAAATAAATAATGGAATGTTAGAATCTCAAAAGTTTCAACTTAACTATCACTTAAATGTATAGAATAAATACACAAATGAATATAATATGGATTCAAATAAGTACCATTAACTTTATGTGAAGTATTATGAGTATTTATTTTCTAAAAAAATTGATAAGTTCATAATGCAATTAGACTTGAAATTCAAAAAAAATTTAATCAAGTAAAATATAATTTTTGAAAATTTAACTATGAATAAATAAAAACTTGGCAGGAAAATATCTGCAGAAACAAACGCTCTAAAGCTCGAGTCAATTTTGAGTCCGACCTTAGTATGGAGGCCGAGCTAGAATATCATAAAGAGTGAAGTGTCCTATTTATAGGTTCGGATACCCGAGGACTTCGACTAGTGGTTGAGCATGTCGAGACCAAGGTCAGCCTGTCGGAAGTAGCTATTCCAGTTCATACTCTTATCATGTGGAATTTGGCTAAGTATGGAAGTTCATTCCTCCCTTGAATGATCCTCAGGGAAGACCTTAGTGAGGTCGATCTTTAGGCAAGACTTGGAAGTCAACTTAAAGCAAGACCTGGATGAGGTCGGCCTTTAGGCAAGGCCTTGATGAGGTCGGGCTTTAAGGAAGATCTTCATATCGGCCACTAGAGGAGACCTTCAGGTCGACCATCAGAGGACCAGATCGGCCACCCGATGAGACCTGTGTCATTTTCAATAAAAAGAACAAAGTTAAAGACTATTTTTTTCTCAAAAGCAAAAAAGAAAAAGAAAATAGCTAAAATAATATTTGGTACATTTTCGAAATTGTTTTATATAGATTAACATTTTTTAATTATTTTTAATTTTTAAAACAGTTTAGAAGGAAGTCTTTTGTTATTGTGTTTTTATTTATTTATTTTGTCATATTAATTTAAAATTTTTGAATTAAATTATTCTTAATCAATAATTATATATGGCCAGTAGTAGTGAAGAAAAAAAATAACACAGCATGAAAGAAAACAAAACACATGAAAACAATAACCTAGTATTTTAAATTTTGTTGGTTTCTGCTGTGAAAACTGTTTAAAAACCTATACAGATAATTAGTATTCTAACTTTTTTAAAATTATATTTAAAACTATAAATAACCTACTTCAACAATACATGAAAATTCGAACTTCGTGGAGAATATGCATTAATTACTTTTGTTGATTTTATAATGAGAATCCAAACAAAGTTCCACTACACAAAGGAATGATCCATGATATATAAATGATGATAATTATGTCTTATGAAACCTTTTGATTGAAATTAAGAGTAAAATCGTGAGAGATATGTCATGTAGAGATACTTGGGAATACGAAGGTACCATTGTCCTTAACAACATTAAAATTCATCAACAAAATTAGATAAATTTTATTAATTGAATTTATAACACAAATTTATAATTTGATAAATAAGCCTACACCCATAAAATAAAAAAACCGATCCACTTCATGTGGACCCCTTTCTAATATTAGTATATACTAAGTTAAATACTATCACTAACCAATAAAATTGAGTAACATAATGATTATGTTATTTCAAAATACATTTTATTAATTGAATTTGAAATACCTTATATTATAATATATATTAAATTAGTCTTTGCACCTATAAAATAAAAAACGTATCCATTTCGTTTGACTCGTTTATAATACTATTATTAGTTTACTAAGTCAGCATTCCCTTAAAAATAAAAATCGAAAAAAGAGAAACTCATTTTATATTCACGCATCATCTTTTGGAACTTTTTAATGACAAAAAGGTCTTTAGTGAGAAAAATAACACAAGAGAGAAATTTGATAATATAATATTAAGTCTAATTTTTCTTCGGTCCATTTGTTACATTTTTAGCTCCGAATTTTTAGTTTAGTTTCTATTTGGTCTAATAAATTTTAAAATATTAACACAGTTTAACTCAAAGTTTCCACTAATACTTACTTTGAGTCTCTAACGTAATATAACCTTTAGTAATCCTAATGAAATGTTGACTTGACTTGCGATGTCGATAGATCCATTTAATATTAATTTATATTATTTATATGCTTATATTTAAGTGATATGGCAAAATATATATATATAAATCTCTATGGTTGACCGTTCTAACGAAATTTTGATTAAGATTTTTTTGATTATTATTTTTTTGCCATATCACCTATTTAAATATTATAAAATAAATGTGTTTACCACGTAAACATATAAATACTTTAAATTAATATTCAATAGTCTCATCAACATTTCATTAACAGTTGATGCAAATCCAAGAGTAGAAGTGTGAACATTTTGAGATCTAAAGATCAAATAGAAACTAAACTTAAAATTCACGAGTGAAAGTGTAATATTTTGAAACTTAGAGACCAAATGAAATATAAACTCAAAATGGACCAAAATTGAAATTAAACTAAAAATTATGGGGGAAAAAGGTATTTTACCAGAAAAATTAAATTATATGTTTCAAAGAATTCAGAAGCTGTAGGGCTTACAAGGTCTTGAGGAGATTCCAATTTTCTTACTTTGAAAAATGAGATTAAATTTCAAATCCAAGAGGTCAAGTTTGTTTAAAGAGATAGCTGATGTGATGCAAAATAATTAAAGCTGAGGGTTCTTTATCTAAAGTCAGCTCAAACAATTAATTTTGGACTTACATTTTACATAATGATTTCTTTATTGTGCCATTAATTAAGGCTTTACTTATTTTTCATAATTTTCCACTCGAATATTATAGGGTCTGGATTTGCCAACAACTTCTAAGTGGATATACAAATTTAAGGAGGGAATATACTAGGAGTCCAAGACCAAGATTTAAAGCCAGATTTGTGGCCAAAGGATTCTCTCAAAGAGAGGGAGTTGATTATGGTCAAGTTATTTCACCAGTTGTAAAACACACTTCAATCAGACTGTTCTTTACTGAGGATCTAAAAACTTGATCAACTTGATGTCAAGACAGCCTTTCTTCATGGTACCTAAAGGAAACAATCTATCCAAAACAGCTTGAAGGATACATACAGAAAAGCAAGAAAGAACAAGTAGGTTTCCTAAACATATTTTTGAATAGGCTAAAACAGTCACCTAGGTGTTGGTATCAAAGATTTGATGAATTTGTAATAAGCAAATAGCTTCAAACGAAGCTCATATGACAGTTGTTTCTATGTAAAAATAACATCGAAGCAAGATCAAGTTTACCTACTACTACATGTTGATGATATGATTCTAGCTGGAAAGAAAAATGATCAAACAAGTAAAAAAATCCTTGAATACAAAATTCGATACGAAGGATATGGTAGAAGCTAGAAGGATACAAGGGATAGAGAAACAAAGTAAAAGGAGAGTTACATGTTGCTCAAACTCCCTACTATACTAGAGTGATTTCTAAGTTTCAAAATGACAGAAGTTAAAGCTATCAAAATTCCATTGGCACAACACTTCCCGCTCTCTACACTAGATTCTCCCACTTCAGAGTAATATTATCATACCAGGTACATGAAGTACATTCCTCACTCGAGTTGATCTGCACCAGACCTGATATAGCATATACCACAAGTATAATCAACCGATTCATGTCTAATTCGGGAAAAAGGCA